GTTCTACATAGAACCACATACAGCACATTCAATCTATCTGAAGAAAGCAAAGAACCATTTACGCATGCAAAGGGTTCTTTGAGTGTTCATGGTTCTATATAAAAACATTTTCTTTACTAAAGAACCCTTGAAGAACCATTTTTTTGTGTAATTTACATTTCAGCCGTCACTTCTGTAAGGATGTTTGGAAAGAATCTCACTCTGTAATGGGTAATGTAAACTTTTACAACATTTAAAAAGCACCAGAGGTACTGGAAACTTGCGTCAAATTTCCAGTCAGATTATATGATTTAATACGTGTTGATAGAAAACTCAATTACAATAATTAATTATTTATTGAATTAATAATTTATGAACTATAATAAATCCTGATAAATCTTTTATCAGGGTTTACAATATCACTTTACTATATTAAAAAAACAAAAAACAGAACAGTGAATCTGTCAGAAATTATTTCAATGTAATATTTTAAGGCTAATTAAAATATTATTACATTTATTTTTATTAAAAAATTTAATTTAAAAAATGTAAAAGTATTGGGACTCCTCCGACACCTGCTAAGCTTTCGCTGGGCTCACTGTGATCGTTTATATCAGCGTCTCTCATCACAGAGGGAAAGTAGCAACACGTGAATAGAATGTGACTTTGTAGTGAACCGTGTACCTTAAAAAAAAGTTTAAAACTGCAGCTTGGTGGACTAAAATGCTGTGACGGCATTTCAAACTGTCCACGATAACACTATCGTGTGCTGTACTGAATTACAAAATACCAAAAAAAAATAATATTCATGGCACTAAAATTTATAACTGTTTTCTTTTAGTTTCACTGACTAACAGAGAAGGTGATCTCTGTGCAGATAAGTGGACGTGCCATCTGCAGGCACATCTAAAGCGCCAGTCATAGCCACAATCATATCATAACATGCTTAAAGAAGACCTTTATTATGCTGTTTAATGAATGCAGCCAAATCCAGGTCTGGCACTTCCACCCTACTGAAAACAGGCAAAGTTTGGGGAACCTGAAATTAGCAGAAGGTACGGAGGCCCTTCTTTAGGAGTGTGAAGGGTGATGGGCAGTTTCCCTGAAAGATAGAGTTTCAGCACATGGTGCTGAGAAGGAAGCCAAGATTAACAGAGGAAGCGTATCAAAACACTGTAAGAGTTAGCAACTGGAACCGAATACCTTTTCACCCGTTAGCATGAGATTTAGTGTGGACATCAACTAGTATATGTAAACTACTGCTTTATAGAGAGGAAGTCCCACATCTCAAATAGGGCTGTTCACATAAACAACAAAACCTCCTATTAAAAGCGCAACATGCCAACTTCGACTACGAAAACCTCATCTGACACAAATATGGCCAAAATGCTGACAAAAATCATAAGGCAGACTGAACAGTTTGTACTTTGATGTGTTGTAAAACTGAGGAACTGCGTACATAATGACGTAAGGCTCCTAGCTAATGGAGCACAAGTGGAGCGTCACCCATCTTATTTGGGATTGCAAGCCATAACTACACAGATGAGAATGCATTACCTAGCAACCATCAAAAAGGAAGCTTGCAGCAGTGGAATGCAGGCTGAGGCAAAGGAACAAGCGCGCAATCAGGGTTCATGCTGAGCAACACCAAAGGAATCGTCTAGATCTCCAATGAAGGATCAATCAGGCCCATCACTCACATACAGGTGAATGCCCGTCTGCCCCAATAACAAGATCAAGGTCGTCTAGCAAATTGAAACTGTCTGTATGCATGTTCAGCTCATGAGTAATGGCTGGAGAGGTAAGCCACTGACTTAAACAATATACCTAGTCTAAACTGTAACATCATAATTCGGATGGGCTCATGACAGCAAAGGAAGACGCATCAAGTCAGGAAGTTCAAAAAAATATGTGAACAGTATACGCATTATTCGAGAAGGTCTGGAATGTGGATTGCACGAAGTCCAGTAAAGTACGTCATTCTAGGTCATACACAGCTTCATTACACGAAGGAAACTCTGGCCCAATGATGGCCTTCCTAAAGGCCAAAGAGTGGGCAGAGCTGCTGGACCCAGAAGACAGGGCAGGGGTTCAAGCTTGGACCTTCAAGAAGCAGGCTGTTATTGTAAGCTCCTGGTGAATGCAGGGTAAATATTTAGTCTACAAGAACAACCTCTAATAAATTACAGTTTTTTTTTTTACCCAATCTTTTTGGGTCAGCTGCTGCAGACGGAGGCAGCTGGGGGTCTGAGCACAGAGCTGGGCAGCCATGACCGATGCATTTGCTCAATGAATAATGTATTTGCATTCACACTGGCTTACAGTTATCTGTTTACACTTTCTTACAGTGTATCACGTAGCCCATTACATCTCAATCCCAGAAGGTCACACATTTGTCCACTCGTTCAGACATTAGTTAATGTCATGTCCCCTCAATACGGCGCCTTTGTATTGTGCTCGGAATTCTTCCTCCTCCACGTGTAAAAGGTAAAAGGTTCTCAGGCTGAAAACAATGAGTCAGTTTTGACAGTCCTTGGCAGCTACATATGGGTGGCTGCATATACAAGTAACACATCGTGTTGCTGACTTTCCTTGGCCATAAAATGCTGGACTTTGGCCAGCCAGCCAGGAATGCAAGACACCTGGGGACATCGTCTGTTATCTAAATAGAAATAACTTACAGCCATTGACATGGGGTTCTGCAGAGTGTTAAAGCTCAGCCCTTAAGTCCTCCTTAAATAAATACACTGCAGGGTGAGACTTTGGCCAAAGGTGATGGAAAGAAGAACTTCTCAGGTGCACCAGAGACCCTGGGCGAAAACCAGACAGGCAAAGTCACTCCTTTTTTGAGAGGAAATAAGGCAAAATATGAAGAACGCATGAAGAACATAATACAATACTTAAAAGTAAAGAGGGAAAAAATGGAAAAAAAAACCCTGCCTGAAAACCAGACTACCACTGCTATAGCTGCAGTACCTCCAGACACTTAAAAAGATGCTTTGGTCTGGTCTGCGCTAAAGTATATTAGTTTAACAGGGATGAGAAGGTAATGTAATAAAGTAATTTGGTAAGCTGTCTGAGTCCTTTACTTGCCTTGTTCTGCCTGGTGTCTGGCTGCAAACAAAGACCCGTGGCCTGTCACTCATGGCCTTTACACGACAATGCTGGTTACATGCAGGCCCTGATCACACACATTCACAATCACTCAACCTTGTAAAGAGAAAGAGAAAGAATGGGTGGGGGGCTTTAATGGGGGTACACAGCAGGGTCCATATGCTCTGCATTAACTCCTAACATTCCTGCTACCAATTAAGCCCACATCCAGACCAACTCTGTCTTTTAATGATGATAATCACTTCAGACATTTCAGCTGAACATCAGCCTGATTTGGTTTTTTCGGCAAGTTTGTTTAGAGAGAAAACCTTTTGAAAAACTGCATGGGACTAACTTAAAGGTAAACCCCCCACCCCCCCATCATGCCATTACAAGTACACTAGTGAGAAAGTGTAAACTTTCCGGAGTCGGTGGGAAAAAGGAACTGTGGCAATAGCGGCGATGGGAAGGGTCATAACAACGTGGGAAGGGATTAACAGTGATAGCTTGGACCGAACATCACCTACTCAATCTTTCAAAATTGCTTTATGAACAGTTTCCCAGGTTTCTACTCCACTTCTACCATAAATGAAGACCAAAAAAAGAAAAAAAAAGAAAAAGAAACAAACTCAACATTGGTCGGGTTGCAGCATGACAGCTGTGAACGAGTATATGAAGGATTGAGTGCCAAACCCTCCCTTTTTTCTAAGTGATCCCTTTAGAGGACGCGTCACCTGGTAATTTCCTCCAGGCTTTGGACACTGAGCAGAACTCCGTTGTCGTGAAAGCCTCCAAGGCTGGCTAGGAAGACCGCAGAGCAGACTGTACTAAGGACATTTATACAGTCAGATAGAAGATGTGACTGTCTGACCAAGGGTCTGGTTCCACTCAAGTCACATTGGTTCATTCTTCACCATCTACAGATGCTGACACAGACACACAGCACCCATACACACAGTTAATTATCTGAATCAGACAGAATGCTACTCAGGAGCCAAAGAATACAAGCACTTCTATGCCTCACTCAAAGAACTGGAATGCACAGTCTGATTGTGCGTAATTAATTAAAAGAACAAAGGGGTTATAATTAGATCTCCCAGTGACCTCAATATTCCCCTTAATCATGACACAAGCCTATTACATCAGATGCTATTTTTCTACTAGACAGATCCTTATCATATCTTTCAGTAGGAATGGCTAAAACTGAGTACACAAGAACCCATTTTGCGCAGCCAATACAAAAAGCCAAAATGCCTGCTTGCAGTTCAGCAGTGTAAACTGGCAGACCTGAAACTTCCCCCAGCCTCTATATCTCCTTTGCTAGGAGTTCACTAAATGGGACCTTATAACAGCATACCTTCCATTACTCTCTGGGGTACATTCTGAACTGAACACACACTGCGAGCCTGCCCTGAGGCCTGAACAAAAGGCAGAGATCCTCAAACGGCCCCACATCTGCTCAGAGACCAACACACAGCACGCATCAACTCTGACCGCAGCCTCTATCCATCCATGTCACGCCTGAGACTAGGCAGGAGGACACCCAGGCAGCTTATTTACAGAGGAGTGCTGCCGTAAACATCGTTTTCCTCACTTTCCCGCTTCATGACACTGCAGAGACCTGGTCAGTATCACTGCCCCCATTGAACTTTAACCTGCTTCAGTCTTGGATGGTCAAGCCTATGCTGACCTCTTGTTTCCACATGCCAAGGTTGGCATGACAGTGGCCAGCACCATTTTACTGCTCCCCTCAAAGCCAGACACTTCCCCACAGAGGCCCACCTACAGCAAATATCCAAACCACTTAAACATCCTGCTATAAAAAAAAGAGCTTCTTGACATCACTTGTTTGCTCAGTTACTGCTGTATGCAGACAAAAATGTAATCTGCACAGTCACTGAAGACTTCAGAGATAGTGGAGGACTCACGCTTAAGTTTCTGTCCCAGATCTGGATAGTGCCATCCTGGCAGCCTGCGGCAATGAGCTTGCCATCCCGGCTGTAGGTGCAGCAGGTGGGGGTGACTCTCTTGCCCTGCAGGGAGCGAGGCTTGAACACAGACTTGTGCTTTTTCTCATTGTTCAGGTCCCAAGTCCTCACAGTCCTGATGAAAAGAGAGGCCAAAGGTCAGTCACAAAGTGTACAAATCACTGCATATATCAAGAAGTGATATACTGTGTAAAGGTCAGAGAGCACCCTTCATTTATTTAATTTCCAGTCAAAGTATTACGTACAAGTTATTCACTTTTCAGCATCAGAAACAGAAAACATTTAACAGAAAATTATACAGATGACTGAAGAACTATATAAAATTAATAATTGTGAACAGCATCTGAAGCAAAAGTGAAGCTTGATTTTCTCCTCTCTCTCAAAGATAAAAGATTTAAGTGCTGCTTATCTGATAGCAACCAAGTTTTGGTTGTTGGCCAGATCTTGTAAGGTTTTTTAGCAGTCCTATTTTGTTAATATATTTTTATATATATTTTTTTTACTCCAGTTTTGGAAACTCCTGTCCCCGCCCTCCACTTCTTTCCCTTTGACTTTAACCCTTTTTGCAAGTGGATTATAGTACATATAATCCCCTCAGCAGACCTGCCAACCTTGGGAAAACATTTTTCAACATTTAATTAAAAGCCCACTTTGCTTAGCACATGGTCATTTCCCTCACTTGCCGTCCTGTCGGTGTCCACCTCATCTGACGTCAGGTTTATTTTAACTGTAAGGCACACACTCACATACACACACCTCCCGGGCAACTTTCTAGGTACCGTTATTTCTGTGGCATGTGCACTTGCTGTTTTCATTCTGCCATGATCTACTCTTTTCATTATGACTAGGTTTGGCTGCAATAATAATTATGACTGCAGTAGTGTGAAAAGTCACGTTTAACAATTGGCGACACACAAACAGTATAACTTAACATTACCAACTTAAATGCCTGATGAACAAGCAAGCTAGATAGCAAATTATGTAACGTTAGGCTAACGTTATTAACATTATGATTTTTTTTACCCCAAGGTTGGCAGGTGTGCGTTAGCTAACTCCGTCCACAATTTCAACTTTCCACGTCCACTCCAGATAACTTTTGCTGAAGTGTCAAAAGCACCGTCCTTGTGGAAGCTTGTGGAACCAGCCAGACGGAGTGAGGAGGGCAAATGAGAGGAATATAAAACATTTCGTGTTGCTATCGGTTTGCAGTCCCTTGAAATAATTGACATTTGTCATCCCCGAGGAATAAACCCAGCGCTATGATTGGTCGAACACTTCTTCTTTTGTTTTTCGGAAGGCTTGATGCTGCTGCCTCTTGCTGTTAGAGTTGAGTACTGCATGTGCACAAGCAAATTCTCAGGAGTCATGCCACTACACTGGAATGACAAGACGTGGAAACAAAAAATGAAATCACCACAGCAGTACCACTAAAAGAGCTTATCCTGCACAATTTTGAACGACTTACAGAGTTCTACAGAGGTATGCGTGCATCTATCCTGGATGCTATTGGGTGTCATGTCATAGCTTTAAGTATGACGCAACCATCGCAAGCATCCATACTGCTCAAATATTTCTTCAACAAGGAGGAGTCATAAAAGCAGCGAGAGAGAGGAGAGAGAGAGAGAACAGTAGATCAGCATGACAGGCATATTCGAAGGATCCATGAAATTCCAATTTTCTTCTCTACATCTGCTCAACACATTACAGCTGTTGGGGGAGGAGCGAAGAAAGAAAGAGAGCGAGAAATAAAAACACACACAACAGCCACATGCGCATCTTCGGCACTGGGGAATTAAAAAAAAGACAGGAGAGCAATGTAATGTGATTCCCAGGCAGCAAACGGTTGCTTTTTAGTGCAGGACGCTGGCATGTCGGATACGTGGCTGCTGAGATGCAAACAGGCAAAAAGCAAACTCAGTATTAAAAAGAGCAGAGTAGCACCAGTCAGGTTTTATTTAGGTCAGGCCACTCAAGAGGACCCTCAAGTGTCACGGCAGCAATGTGACGGACAGGGAATATAGATAAACCACATAAACACAGGCTGAATGGGTCACAGCTACCCTAGGGTGTCGAAGACAGGCTCCTAATATAGCTGTTGAGCAGCATATTTTACTTCCGCTAACAACACAAACACAGCACAACTGCAAGACTGTAGTGAGTTAACAGACCCAAAGATGTTTTAACGCTGGTTCCTTTGTTCAGAAAGACAACTTAGTTTGTCACCTTTCTCTCAGCATTGACTTTACATTGTTTGCTGACTTTCCCCCCTCAGACAGTGACCCCTATCTAAGGCAGAAGCCAGGAGTCAGATGAGAGGAAAAAAGGAAGGCAGGAAGAGGTCAGCGTGAGTCAACCTGTTCAAATTTGCACCACACCAAGCAGGCAAGAGCGCCTGGTGCCTTGAGAGTCAGACCGGCACGCTAAGCGTGTCCAAGTGCTTCTCTGCCCTGCTGTATACTTTAACTTGCCGTGACCCCCTGGGTCAGAGGGTCCTGAGAGGACTGTAAACACAACGATAGCTCCAATAGCAGCCAGGACTGGATTCCAACACAGCTACATGCTCATCGTGTTTAAATAAGGGAGGGGGGGTGCATAGGGATGCCAGGGAAAACAAATGTCAAAAAGCCTGTTTGAGGATGGTGGGAAATTCATCATATAACAAGACATACTTGGGAATAAGTTCAGACACCAACAAAGCAAAGCTCCATCTAGTTTTAGCTAGTGTTGTAGCATTCGAGTGCGTGCTCGGGTAAACTAATGGTCTCAGTCTAGTCTCGGCCTCGAAATCATACAGACTCAGCCTAATCTGGATAAAGAGGACTCTGAAACTGTTCTGGAGACTAGCCGAGTGCGACGCCTCCGCCTGAGGTAACTGGAAACAGAAGTTTTATTTTGTCATTATTAAAGATCAACAATTCCTTCAGAGAGGATAAAACATCCTTTCTCTACATATTTACATAAAATCTGTTTACTGTCAGTTGAGGATCTAATTGATCTCTTCATGATGGCTGAACTGGTTATTATTTGTTTGTTGATGTTAATTGGTTCCAAAATTCAAACATCCTCTGAACTTCCTCAAACAATGTTATTATTACTATGTTTACCTCAGCCAACAACACAAACGCAACATTTAAAAAAATGGATGCATGTTGTTGGGTTTACCACTGGATGTCTGCACTGTATAGGATCAATTGGCATGGGATGAGACATCTCAGTATAAAAGACAGAGATGTGAGTGGCTACTCGATTTATGCCCCGTCTTTACTCCAGATAAGAGCAGAAAACATATTGAAACAATAAATTCATCCATTTGCTGTTGTCGGAACAAAACCTTGTATCTCTATTTTTGTTGTTTTTCAGTTTTTGACATAATTTGAAAATGCTTTTTGTCCTTTATATTGTGTAGGGGTGCGGGAAAAAAATTGATTCTTAGATGCATCGCGATGCGGAAGTGAACGATTCTGAATCGCACAAATGTCAAAAATCGATTTTCTAAATATTTCATTTAGAACGTAATGTTGACGGAACACAAAAGGCGGAACTTGGAAGTGCGGAAGTGCAGCGCCCGGACAGTCTGTGGCGGCACACAACAAAAACACAAGTGGAAGAGCGAGAAATCCGACCGGCTCCTCTGCATTAAAGGCAGGTTAGATCAGGAGTCACAACCCAAATGATAACATTTTGACCTTTCAACAAAAATCAAACCACCTTGGGAGCCGCAACATTTAATGTCCAGTATGTGTTAATGTCCTAGTATAGGCTAAACAATATAAACGAAAACGCAGATTTATTTTGCTCTGCTTTAAGCTTTAGCTTAGCTCAGCTATAGCCGCTTGCCTCCCATCTCCGCCAGAAAACCTCAGAAGTAGATCAGTTAAATGTCTCTCAACGTTCGACTGTATTACGAGGCTGAAGTCGCTTCTCGTTCTCCAGCTTCTTGTTCGAATTTACCCGTTCCACCTTAAATTCTAACTGAGGCGCCGAATGTAAATGCAGAACCATTTAAGGGGGAATTGTAGAATTCGAAAGAGAAGCGACTTCAGCCTCGCCACTTTTTACTGTTTGACAGTCTCTCGTTGCAGATTTAACGTACCAGGAAACCAACTGCGCTGCTTATAAATGCGAATAACACATCGCTGCTATGTGACCTGCAGTCTGCACGGCGGTTCTCAGTCGTTGCGAAACAGGGCTTTCGCGCTATGTTGCACACGTCCCATCTCAAAGATATTTTACTGACACGCCGATTCCCCTGCCCCCGTCTCTACAACAAGACCAAAACCGAAGTTATAAAATCACTGAATTAAAAGGGTAGAATAGCTGTAACGTGCTGCGTGGTCATCCACTGACACTGGATCTTATTTCACCGTAACTGTGCATTTTACCGCAGATGAGTGGCAGCAGCGTCTCGTGCTCCAAACAAGAGCACTGAATGAGAGTCTTCCAGTTCACTTACCACATCACTTCCATTTGTTTTATTAAAAAAGATATTGGAAGTAAATTCATTATGAATCATTACAAATACTTCGCTTTAAAAGTAAATTCATTATGGATCATTACAAATACTTTGTGTATATTTTGTGTATATTGAATACATTTCTGTTGGTTTTTTTTGTATTTTTATTTATTTACTTTCTGTAGAGTGGTTACCTGTGCCTCACCACAAGCATTTCAATGCATACATGTCCTGACATGTTGTGCAAATGACAAATAAACTTGAAACTTGAACTCGAATGTTGAGCTCACACAGTGAGAAGATATAAATGCTATATAGAAAAAAAAAAAGATGCATCGATAATCGTTTTATAATCGCATCGCAGCCCTCTGAATCGTAATCGAATCGTGAGGTGCCTAGAGATTCCCACCCCTAATATTGTGTATAAATTTCATGATGAATGGTCCAAAAGAAACTGCCCAAAATTACTTGGAAAAACTCTGGTTTCATTGACTTACATTAAAGGTAAAGTAGTTTTTTTCTTTCTCCTGTAAAGTTATCATCTTGGAGATACAAGGTTTTGTTCTGACAGCAGTGCATTATTGTATTTTCCTTAAACTTTTGCCTTACTGTCTTAAATGAACGAAGTACGTCATTAGCATCGGCATTAGCTTGGAAATTCA